AGTGTGTATATCGGAATATTTTTACTTTGTTCTCACCAAAACTATTTTTAAATGTTCCTCAAAAATAGCGCTAGTTCATAATATTCCATGTAACAAACAAACTAGACTCCCTCTTACCATATCTAGGTATCATAACTACAAAAAATTATAATTATAAATTATACCAGTGAGGAAAAATTAGTGAATTAGGTTGTGAAACTTTTAAAACTGTAGATTTATTAACGTCCTTGAAAGAAAGTCAATCAACGCAAAATATTTCCAATTTATACACTGAGATTCATATCCGTAGTTTTTCGTTTTTTTTTGTATTATTGGGGTCGGGGGTCCAATAGTAGGAAGACGTGCGGTACAATAATAATTTCCAGTTTACCCGTTGTGACATATAGGACCAAATGAAAACGCCGTTAAAACAAAAACTTGAAAAAAAAAAATGATTACGAGACTTATTTAGAACTCTAATGCTATTGTGGATACCGCACAATATCAACTATTACGATAAGCTGGCAGGAAACCATATTTCACCAGTACAGATTTTTCTCCTGGATACAAATATTCTGGTGTGAGTTGTTATAGATCCGTCATCTTTTCCTTTAACACCCCAAGCAAATGAGAAATAGCGGCAAATGTCCAGTGATTTATCGTACTTGTCCTGTTTTTGAGTCGGTATCAAAGGCAGAATTCGACTAGAGAAAAACATTTCCGATCCGAATCCGACAAGAAGATGATAACATGATCCAACGTGTTTTCGAATTTTAAATGAATCGATCTAATCGAATAGCACTATAGCAGCAGTATTCATTCGTAGCGTATACATATCTGGTAAACCCAATAAATATTTCCAGCAAACTACAAGGAATAAAATCTAATGAACATTTCGAATATATTGACATTGTTAATGAAAAATAAGAATTTATCTAAAGAATAAAATACGAAAGGAATGAACCAAAGGTTGGCATACATTGTATTAATATCTGAAAATAGAGGTTTAAAATAATATGACACATAATTACCCCAGTATTTATCTTTCTTTTAAAACTAAACTTGAGAATTCCATTCCCTAGTGAATGTGACTGCAGAATGGCATCTTGCTACTGCGTCTGCTCGCCTATCTATAAAAAATCTGTCTCTCAATTTTAAAGAACTTCCAGATTTCCAACCAGTTATACAATCAGATTTTTGGCTGTAAATGGAAAAATGGACAATGGAAACAATATGGAAAAAGTAAAACAAACTATTCAGAATATCAAAAAATTGATAAAAAAAAGTATAATTTCAGAATAATTATAGGCATGATAAAGATTCAATTACTCACAGTAGGAGAAAATATTGTTTGCGAGTAAAAGACAAAAAACTGAAAATAAAGCAAACAATCGCCGTTGTTAATTTACATTAAATCTTACCATCATTCCATCGTCAGAAAATCCAATTCCTGCCAAAATTCCTTCACTAACATTAGCCCATATCGTGAAATAAACAAAATGAGAATCTGCATGCCATTTTTCCATATATTCACAGTTTCCAGCATCGCACCTGCCTGGGTAAGTCAAGGAATCTGCAAAGTAGTTAGTCATAGAACAACAGTATTATATTTTAATACTTTCCAGTCTTACGCAAGATTATACTTTAAACTCAACATGTCCTCATCTTTCGATATTATAAGCTGAGAACCCAGGGCGTAAAATCAGCAATGAAACGCAGATGACAGTCTTTACAGTTAGCACGTTGCCCTTAGTGGTAGAGTGACGCGATGTTTTGGTTCTCAATACAGTAATTTTCGTTTTCTTTCTCAGTGGCAGAAACGTTTCCTAAAGTTTTTCTACAAAATCGATTAATCATTTATTACCGGGGTTGCCAACCTGTTTTCGACCGCGATCGACTAAAATCCGCAAAATAGCTCGCAATCGAGTGAACGGTTAAAGGTCATAAAAGTAAAACAAATGGGTGCTACATATCGTCACGCTAATAACCGAATTGCGTAAGTCATTTTTAGCAGTTTTGAGAAAAACGTAAAAAACTTCCTAATGATATTGCTATGCCATTGAGAGTCAATAATTTGCCATAGTTCAATTTTTCGATCGTAGCCGGATTTAAGCTAATTTGTATGACGCAGTCATGTGACGTCATAATGGCGCACTGTGATTTAGGCAGAAATGCGTCTATGACTTATGAACAAACGCAATTTTGCAACTTGACTATATGCACCAGTCCTGAATACCAAACAATTCAAAAACGAATGTAATTCTTAGTATCTACGATGTCTAATCCCCAAAATAGCTAATCTGTTTCAATTGCATTATTTTTTATGTTTAAAAATATATATTTCCTCAATATAACACACTCTGCACACACACCAAAATAAGACTAAGATTAAATATAATAAATAAAACAGCAAGGTACCCTTATATAAAGTCAACCAGGATTGAATTGGACTCGGACAGTGATTATCACAAGTGCACGCCTTCCCTTATACTGTAGTATAACTTAAATTTATGAGCGCCCAGCGAGAATCTGAGATTGCAAAAACTCGAAAATCCTCGCAGAGTTGTTTTGCATTTGTGACGTCACAATAGTCCTGCGTTAACAATAACAATTCATTATGACGAAACAAATGAACAAATTTACATGTCATACAAAATCGCCATTTTTATGGGTTTCGGAATTCTTAAATAAAATCTTAACAGTTAACAGACAGGTGCGCACCTTTACATTGATACCTATTTTATAAAAAAAACTCAAAACCGCCAAAAATGACTTACGCAATTCGGTTATTAGCCTGACGTGATATAGCCCAGCGGAAAAACAAATATTGACCTATTGAATAAAGTGAAAATGATTGAACGTTCAACAGAATTCTCAGACCAAAATTTGATACATTTTTGGAAAGCAGATGTTTAGGCGTATCGGCGATCATACGCTTCAATAAAGTATTTCTCATTAAAATATTTATTTTCCAATGATAAAATTATCAACGCGACAGATGAGACGTATAATGTTTTCAGAGGATTTCATGGGGAGAAAGAGGAGCAAGTGAAGCTACGACTGTTGACTCATTCCATCTCCTTTTATGTCAATAACATCTGGTTTGTAAATAAGACTTGATGAAAGTACCCGTTTCGGGGCAACAAGTTGATGTCAATAACATGTCGCTATGATCAGTAACTTCCATTCATCTAATTTGGCCATGTCTGAGCAATCAGCAAAATTGAACTGCGGGGTGAATACATGCCTACATATTGCTTACATATAAAGTCGTTGTAAAATTTTGAGTCGTTCTTTAGAGGCACTACGTGCATGATAAGAAACTGTGCCAGAATTCAAAATTACGAGCGTAAGATGACGAACATGAAATTGGTTTTGTTTTTTGTGTTTGTGATCGTGATCCAGATAAGTTTTGTGAAATCGAATTACCACCTATGGCAAAGATGGAAACATGAATTGGTAGGACAAATTGACATATATATATATTTACAATATACCTATGTATTGAATATATTTTAGAAATAATGCAGAAATTACGCTCTATAAAATTTGACGCGCTACTACTTTAATTTCGACTTGCTGTTTTACACTAGAACATCGTAATATTTTTAAATTGATTTTTCGGCAGAATGGGAAATGCTTCCAATATGTTATAATTCGTTTTATTATTCGAGAAATAGTAAAATCTATTACTTCGGACTAAATTATATTTTTGCGGAGTCGATTGTACGATTGGGCTACAGCGACAACAACTAGGCAAAATTTTTTTCAAAATAACAAAGGACTAACTTTGATTTATTAATAAAAAGTAAATCAACCTTTAGGCAAGAGATACGACACAGATGAAAATAATCAAAGATATACAACATGGAAAAAGAATCTTGAATTTGTTGAAAAACACAATGAGAAGTTTAATTCGGGAGAAACAACGTACAAAATGTCTATGAACGGACTTGCTGATTTGGTGAGTTTTGTCTGGTTTTTAAAAAATTATGGAATATTAGAATCTTCCTTACAACTGCATAAATAAAATCCACTCTCCATAACTGAGTGTTTTGTTGAGAACGAAAGAACTTGAATAAATATGTATATATATATATTCATTTCGTAACCACGTATATTTTTGCAGACACAGAATGAATTCAAAACGATGCTGATGGATATTCTAGTTCATTCGCACAGTTGAGAAATTCAAGTTTATTCAGTCAGGATGTAACAATTCGGTACCAGATATACTTGACTGGAGAAGTGAAGGTTATGTTACACCGGTAAAAAATCAAGGACAAATTGGATCTTGTTACTCGTTTTCAGCAGTGAGTTAATAATTTTCAATCTCAAATACTTGTTGTTATGACAATATTGTTTAATTTACGAACCAAAGGTTAGCATAGTGCTAGACTTGACCATGGGCAAACTACGGTCTGGGGCGCAAATCCGGCTCGCTTGGGGTGGATTTCAATTCTGCGCCACCTGATGCTGCACAAACCAAAACTAAAACCAAATTTTGATGTTTTAGGTACAAAGATAACTCAAGGAAATTTTGTTGAGATTGCGATTTAAATTTAGTTTTAGCTCCGCGGGCCAATTGTTATTCATTTTTGCAGTTGTAACAGTGTAATTATTGTTTATAAAATGCAACATTTTACGTGACACTTACAACGCTCGGCAGTCTGGGTGGGCCAAATTTTTGGCAACCTTGCCCCCCTGGACTAGACTGTCAAATTTATATAATATTGACCAGACTCCCGCGTTAGAATGGACGTTTGATGACATAATGGCCCTCACTGTCTCGTCGTAATAAATTTCACCTTTGTTCGGTAACCTCGTTGACTTAGAACCATTTCAATTAAGTGAGACTTCCTGTAATAACCAATGTCAATTTTTTGTTAACAGGGTAATTTTATTCATTTTTAATTTTAATATTTATAATGACTCACTTATGATAGTACTGATTGAAATTTTCACCATTTGCTTTAAAAGTCGAGGCCGTAGAGGACAATATTTTAAACAAACCGGAATACTTGTGTCGCTTAGTGAACAACAGATTGTTGATTGCGATCAGGGAGGTGATGGGGGAATTCCTTAATAAAGTTTATGAATATATCCAAAGAGTCGGAGGAGTGCAAACGGAGCAAGATTATCCATATGTAGCTAAGGTAAGACACAGATGTCTTTGTTACCATGTACTAGCGATTTAATTCAAGTATATGTCTTCTGTATACTGTATAACTACTAAAGATAAGATCATATATATATAATATATATAATACTTAAACTATGAAGTGATAAACGGATACAGTGACATGGCAAAATTAATAATACTTCTAATAATTTCATCAGAAACTTTAACCAAACAGTTGCTAAATGTGGAAATATTACCTCGTAAAACATTTTTTGATCGACCCTACAATGGATGAACTTTGGCCATGAAAAAACTTATTCACACAATAATCATATCAAAGTAATAATAACAGTGGTCTTTTTTAATTTAACATAACGTTTGTTCAGGTGCAAAAGTGCAAATTTGACAAGAGCAAAGCGTATGCTGCCGTATCGTCATATGATTTAATAAGACCACGAAGAGACGAAGATTCCCTACAAACGGCTATCGCTCAGGTTGGACCGATATCAGTCAGTAGTATCAAAATCTATCAAAGTTTCCAGTTTTATCATTCAGGTAATATTTGATTTGATGCTATATTTAACAAATATTCAGAAAGAAATGATTCGATAATATTAATTTAAATATATTTTGGAAGTAAATAATAATAAAAATTAAATTATTGATGTGCAAATTTGGGGAACAGCAAACCACAGACGGCCAATATCCTTTCCATATTACTTCATTATCAACTAATTATTCGTTAGGTGTTTATTATGAACCGAAGTGTGATGGGCTTGGTCAGCCCGGTGACGGCTATCATGCAATGCTAGCAACTGGTTATGGATCAGAAAATGGAAATGATTATTGGATGGTAAAGAATAGGTACGTCAGGCTTTCAACTTGGGCTTATATAAATTTAAGTTCTGCCACTTTGTGGAAATTGATATATATATATATAAATATATGTAATTTTCTTTTCCAAGTTGGGGAACAGGATGGGGAGAGAACGGATATATTAAAATGATAAGAAATAAGAACAACAACTGTGGAATAGCAAGTCAAGCAACATATCCTATCATGTAAGTTTAAGGAATGATGCTGGTGGTAAATTGTGGAAAAAAATAAAGCTATTTCCCCTGTTGCATGAAACACTCAAGCCGGCGAATAACTGATGAGAAAAGCGTTTAAAAATCGTTTTTGTGTTGCATTCATACAAGCCCCCAATATTGCGTAAATAGGCGCTTTATAGGTGACTGCCGCACCGTTTGACACCTGCGTGGCGTAGTCTTACTCTTAGCGTGGAGAAAACAAGCGAATGAGTAATGATAGATATTATTACGAAGGATCATTCAGAGTATAGTGTTCTGCTAATTATAAACAAGTTAGGCTAAAATCAAAACCCAAAATTTCTAGTGAATTATTTTATTTTGTTACAATACCGCACATTTTTTTGCAGGTCTGCACAACAACGAGCGCTGGCAATACCTGAGACGACGACATCAGGGGGAAACATTCAAGCTTGGTCCATTGCGGCATTGTTGATAAGTCTGGTGTCTGCTTCAGTTTTCTTTTGATTTCAGTTCATACTTTTGCTTCTATTTTATGTATACACATAACTTTTTCATCACTCTATTATTGGGTTCTTATACGCCCTTTGTATTTAGCTTGTTTTAGGTTGGTGGATGTTTCCCCGAGCTTCATTTGTTGTTTATTTCCGTAACAACTGCAAATCAGCAACAAGTTAACAATGACGTAACAATTGGAATTTATGCCGCCGCTGAGACACCTCTTTCCAGGGCTGCCACTTTAGATGTTTTATAGCTAGATCTGGATGTTTTTTTTTGTTCGAGATATAGATGTAAAATTTGGTGTCTAGATGTTAGCTATAAAATCTAGTTATTTTTTTTCAACGTTCCCAATATTATCCAGTGGGAAATGAATAAAGCGATTTGTATATTACTGTAATATGTGAATGAATAATATTTCATTACGTAGAAGTAAGTTAAATATATTGATGTAAGATTGATAAAACTCATTTATATTGAATTATTCGAATAACGATTTAAACATGTTTAGAACATGTGACGTTTTAATTGAATAGAAAGGACGACGTTGGTCCGATGAGTCAGTGCTTTGTATTGCATCGTTGCCAATTGATGAGAATAATTTGTGTAGTACAAGTTGCTTACTTTAGGATTTTAAAATTATAAAGTTTTTCAAGTGCTGTTAAATCTGTCTTCCTTTACTTTTTGGTGATATGAACTACGCAGAAAATAATCTGAGAAACAGCATGAAGATTTACTGAATGCAATACCTGAATACTGGTTATCAAAGTCCGCCTGATTTGAAAAAACAATGCTGCACTTCTTATAAGTTGCTGATTCGGTTGCCAAGAGAATAGGTACAGCAAAAACCTATAAAAATTCCTTCGAAGCAACAACATTAACAGATGTCAGATCTAATATTATGTGATATATATAATAAACTTTGTATGCTCTTGTTTCATTGATTTTCATTAAATTCAATGACTTCAAATCTAGATGTATTTTTTAGATGTTTCATTTTTCAATCTAGATGTTTTTCGTGGTCAATCTAGATGTTTTTAGTCAGGCAAAAGTGGCAGCCCTGCGTTCTTTCGCTCAGACAGATGTTCAAGCGGGTTGTAAACATTGCCTCTATTTGGAAGTTTTGTCAGTGTTATTGTCAGTTTTTGATTGTGTTTGGATAAAAATGATAGTTTTGAACATGTGAGCAAGTACATATATATATATATATGGAGAATCTATCAACAAGGGTGAAGGAAACATCTATAGCAGGGTCGTCCAACCCGCGGGCCATATGTGACCCGCAGAAGCATTTCGAGTGGCCCGCGCTGTGTTTTTCAGAATTGAATAAAAAAAATTGAAGTAAAGCTATTTTTCGAGTGATGTAGTATACAAAGATGTGATACAAACGTTTTTGTTTATTTTCCTGAAATTCACTCTGCCAGCCCTTTCAAACTAGCCATTAGTGCCATTTTTAATCGAAAACAACTGGGAGGATATATCGATAAATAAAGATGCCATAGCTGCCTATACACTTGGTCTTTCTATATAACGTTATCGCAAAACAATCGAAGCCATTCTCAGATTTGAGAATGTATATTATGTATTACCGGTATATTATTATGAGCACTGACATTAAGGTTACTGCTCAGTTGGCGATCTTCTTGGGGGGAGTTAATAATGATTTGGAAGTTACCGCAGAGCTCGCGGTCATTGTCCCTATTAGAGGTATTGGTCTTTTGGGAGCTGTGATGAAAAAGACAAAGCGTCTTGGCATGTCTTTGGCGAAACTTACGGAAATAAATACTGGTGCCCCCCCCATCAATGGTTGAGAAACAACAGTTTTATTGGTATAATATTTGTGAAAGTTTGGTGTGCGGGTGTTGTTTGTTTTTTTAATAACCTGTAGTCAGTGTAGCAAAACTAGAACATAATGCCATGTTGAGTGGCCCGCGCAGTTATTAGTAAACTACATGTGGCTCTTCGGCTAAAAAGGTTGGACAACCCTGATCTATAGTATACCTATAAGGTTTTATTTGACTTCTATTTTGAAACCCACATCATAGACAAACGCAGGAAACAGCTTTCAGACTTTGAGAGGAAGTAATTATTCTTTTCAAAAGTGAACATCAGACTTGGGGACTGACAAGATGTCTAGCTGTGTTACCGATTTTTTTCTCTGATGTTCTGGCGACCACCCTGTAGTTATAGGGCGTTGAAAACTTTTACCGCAATAACTTTACTTGTATTTGAAATCAGGAAATGAAGGTTTCTCAATAACCAGGTTTTAAGGTACACATTAACAATTATTCAGAGTTTACATGGATTTTGTAAGTAAATTTATGAGAAATATGCTGAACTACGTGGTATACATGAATTATATTATCATCAATGAATGGATCAAAATTTATATATATATATATATATCGGTAGATCCATACTTGTCCATCGGCTTTCAGTCGTATTAAAGGTATTGCCATCCTGTTACATTGCTATTTCGGATTTCTGGGTCGTTACTCTCCGAAATGGACAGATCGATTGTATGGTAATTCCGTGAAAGATGCAACAGCGTCGTTGTCGAGAGCTTTTTTTAAATTGCAATAAACAGTATCAATCAATAATAAATACATCACAGTAATACATAACAATATCATGGCAAATCATTCTATGCATGCCCTTCATTTGGTTTTTCATAAAAAAATTATTGCAGTATACAATATTAATAAATACCATTTAAACTTATCTCTAATTCAATAACAATGTCATCCCAGACGACCCTATACATATACATAAATTATTAGGTAATACAATAGGTATAATAATATAATAACAATTATCTGTTTAGAATAATAATATTACTGCAATCTTCAAATAAATTCCATTTTTTTCTATGTATGTGAAGTTTGCCATTTTTTAATGCTGCATATTTTTTTCACTATCACGAATATCACATAAAAATTTGAGAAACACATCAAAAATCGGTTTGTGCTTCTGAATTCGGCATCTATATATATAGAAACGTGCAGCCAGTTACCAAATTGTAAATTAGGAATATCATCAAACCCTATGAAACATTCTTTCATTTTAAGACAAAAATTCATATATATCGTCTGTTTTGAAAACTATCCATTGGTCTACCTCAGACCAAAATTGACTTGTTATGGGACAATAATAAAACAAATGTAATAAGGTTTCAATATGTTGTTTACATAATTCACGCCTATTTGTCTCCACTAGTCCAAACCCATGTAATGCATAGTTGAGAACTGTAGATTTATAAAAAAGGAAATCTGGAAAGATCTTTAATTACCAGCAGTCATATCCCTTATCTCCACGTCATTTAAGTGCACCGAATGGTGAAATTCGGCATATGAAGTTAATTGGTTCACCATTTCACTGTTTACTCACTATTCTAACTAACTATTCATTCGTATTTTTAATATTTATTTACCTCACCACATGCATAGAATATTACCAGTGGCGGCGCGTCAATAGAGCCAACCGGGGCAATGCCCCGGTTGTTTTTTCGGTATAATAAAAAATATTAGAAAAATACCTCAATATCGGTTGCACAGACTGTCTACACTAGCCATATTCTCCCGACATGGTTCATTTTTCGCTCGCAAAGCCTTCGCCGAACGTCGACGGGGCGACGCCGATTTTGCCCCGGTTGCTCATTGTATATCGTATTCTCTCTTTTATCTTCCACTCGCCGCGTTTGTCTCGTTTGTTTTCTGTTTCTTTTACTAAATCATCGGGGCCGAACGGGGCTAGCCCCGAAATTATGACGACACAATGCCGACGTTTCTTACAACAACGTGTTGCCATATTCACGCATTCCTTCTCGTTCGTTGGTTGCTTGAAGAGTTGATAGTTTTTGTCGCTTGTTTCGCTATTTGAATCAGTTAGAGACCTTTAGTCCATTTGCTTTCGATTTTCCGCATTCCTTTTGAGCTCCTCACTTCTTTCCGGCTTCGCATTTCTTAGCCTTAGACCTCATAATGAATAAGGTTAATGCACTACTTCGCACTCCGTTTTCGCAGCTGCCGCTGGAACAAAAATTAGAGGTACAACGTCTTGGGCCTTATCAACCAAAAAATTGTTCACTGGAACAATCCCATGACGGAGGAAAGCGTCGGCGTACATTCTGCGCAGAAACTTGGTATAAAAAACACGAATGGTTGTGTTACAGCGAGGACAAAAATGCACTTTTTTGTTTTTATTGCCTACTTTTTGCTACCGCCCGTGACTCACGTTGGTGTAAATTTGGTTTTAGAGATCTTAAACATCTTTCCGAGCGTGCCAGGGATCATCAATCTTCTATGGAGCATCTGGACAATGCAGTAAAATACCGAACATTCGGAAATGTTAATATTGCAGCACAGTTGGATGAAGGACGCGCGGTTTCTATTCGTCGGCACAACCAAAACGTCGAGAAAAACCGCCATGTTCTCGGTCGATTGATAGATGTTTTGAAGTTCATTGGTTGTCACGAGCTGTCCCTCCGTGGGCACGATGAACGGGCTGGCTCTTCTAATAGAGGGGTATTTTTGGATATGGTGGAATACACCGCATCCCTAGATACAGTATTGAGAGATCATCTTGATGCCGCAACTGTTTCGAAAGGGACATCTAAGGATATCCAAAATGATTTGCTCGACTCAATGTATAAAATTTATTTACAACATTTGGCTCTGGAAATTGAGAATTGCCAGTTCCTTTCGATTCAGTCTGACGAGACAACTGACATCACGTGCGTTTCCCAACTGGCTGTGATTTTTCGGTTTGTGAAAGATGGTAAACCTACCGAGAGATTTCACAGCTTTGTACCAATCGTTGATCGCACGGCTTGCGGGATATCGGCTGTACTGAAAGAAGTTTTGCAGCCTTACAACGCGAAGTCAAAATTGATAGCTCAAACTTATGACGGCGCGGCAGTCATGAGTGGGTCGAAACATGGTGTTCAAGTTTATATAAAAGAAGATTTTCCTCATGCGCATTTTTTACATTGTTATGCACACCAATTTAACCTCGTTATTAAAAATATGTGTCTTGATACCCCTCTCGTCCGTATATTTTTTGCAAATGTTTCGGGGTTTTCTTCATTTTTTTCCGTTTCGCCGAAGCGCTTTGACCTCCTTCATTGAATGTTTCAATGGCATTCAGAGCTCTCCGGTTTGGGACGAACGCTCTGTGAGGGAGGCGGCAGGTCTAAAGCGTCTGCTAGAAGATGGTGAGTTTTCATTTTTTCTCGCTTTTTTCTCCACAATATTCTATCACGTGGATGTATTATACGGCGCATTGCAGTCAAGGCTAATGGATGGAGCGTCTGTGCAGTCGTGTATTTCAGACTTCTGCGATGCTGTATCTCGTATCCGGGAAACAATAAAATACGACGACACATGGAGTGCTTCTTTACGCCGCGGGCAAACAACGCAGCGTTTGATTTTGTCTGCAAAGGAATGCTGTGACATTCTGGTGAATCAAATAGGCGATCGTCTGTGCACTGAACACCTTGCCGCGTTCTCTTTGATGAACCCCAAAAATTTTTCAAAATTTGCACGTCAATTTCCCATCCATTTGTTGGCTACTGTCTCCAAATTTTACCCCATGATAAACGTGGGTAAATTGGAAAATGAATTGCGATGTATATACACCGATCAAACTTTTTTGAACATCACGTCAACTTGCGCGCTCTATGGGTTCCTCATAGATAACACTCTAGTAACTACCTTTGCGGCGTCTGCAAAATTTCTGGACATCATTTTGACGACGCCTATTTCTTCCGCCGACGCAGAGCGAACATTCAGCACGCTGAAGCATATTAAAACGTATCTCAGAAACACAATGAAGTAAGATAGATTAAATTCCTTGGCTGTTTTATCCATTCACAGAGACGTTATTTCTGGGATGCATGACTTTAATCAGAGCGTTATTGAGCATTTTGCTTCCAAGAAACCGCGGCGTGTTGCATATATGTTCAAGCAGTAGAAGTCTAGCAGCATATATATCTATGAGTGAGCGACGCATGTCCTTATCTTTGCATTAATTTTCCTTTCTTCATAGTAACGTTTTAAACCTTATTTTAGGTTTTGTCTGCTTTCCCGAAGTTTCTGTTAATATGTCATTGTATTTATCTGGGTAAATATTGCCTTTCCTTTTGAAAGAGGTTTCAAAATAAACTATGTCTATATTTATTAATCCCTTGACTGGGACCGGTTTTAAAGACACTTTCTTATCGTTAAAAATTGTCGCTTTTGCCGATTGGTTGTTACCGATGGAATGGTTTTTATACTCATAAAATGATGGGAGAACTTACAGCGCTCATCCTGTCCCCGTAGATGGGGTGACTTGGTCCCGCAGTAGCTTGCCCCGGTTGTCAAAATGACCACGCGCCGCCACTGAATATTACATATATATAATCATATTTTTGCAAATCTCACTTCCTATTCATTGCACTTGGTGTTGACAATTATTACTGTCATACACTGACGACAACAAGGTTTTGCTGCTATGTATATAATTGTACTATACATTGCTATATTCATCGGCTATTACTTAACTGTAAATCAATCGCTTTTTATTTGATCAATTGTCGTCACACCTGTACCCACTTCTAACTAATAATAATTGATTGAAATATTTTACCCACTTCCATTTTTTCTGTGCTGCCCTTTGATTCACGTATCCGTCCACGAAGCCTTCACGAAGTGGGGGACCTCATATAGCGACATCTAAGTTCAACTTTCTATAGGGTTCTTGCTGTTGTTCCCCAAACTCCGCGTGCCGAGACTACGCTTTCCTATTCCTGCCCGCTTTCAAGTCTCTAATAAAACGTGTAAGATCTTTGTTGTATGTTGTATTATAAAAGCGATGATAAAAGCACAAAATAGATATTTAAAACAACAAGAGATCTACGCACAAATATATGGACACGTTAGACCAGAGCGAATCAGTCTTACCGGTACCTTTGACGCTACCGGTACTTTCAAAAAAGTTCTGAATTTCCAGTAGCAAGAATTTTGCAGAATCAAAACGTACAGCCAGTCATGACACTGACTAAAATCCGTGTTCCCATGGATAAAAAATAATACATCAAAATTTTAGACGAAATATCAAATTTCATAGAATTCACGCAAAATTTTGAAATAAATAAAAGTAATAACCTTCTAGCGAAAAAATTAATCTTTAACCACTGAAAATTTCAAAGCAATTGGTCCAGTATTCGAAGAGAAAAGCGACTTTTTAAAAACGTGTCAACAACAACATAATATTGAAACGATCGTTATGGCCACTAAACGTGTCCAATAAAGAAACTTAACTTAGTTGAGTTGCGATGATAGAGGTAGTTGAGCTGCGTGAGAGTCGAGAGTTGTCGCTGAGTGCCAGTAGACGAGTGTCGTAATCCAGTGTCAGGAATCGAGTCCCATAAATTGTAAGATTCGAAAAAAGCCAAAAACGTGGCAGCGCGTCACGGGCCATGTGACGTGAGTCTAGTGTCGCTAAACAGACAAGTGATACAATTCAATTCGTTTATTACTCCAGACCGCTGCGGTCCATATAAAAATTCCACAAACGAATAAACATAAGCAAAAATAACACAATAGATACACAAAATACCTGATACGACAATCAGATTCACAGTAGATCTCAAAATAGAGGTAATACTGTAATCTAAGAGGCTAAAAGTGAAGTATAGAATCCAAGATAGCCCGTCACAAACAGTATCTGGGAATCAAATAATGATTGTAATAGGATGTTATTGGAGTTCTTGCATCTCGTCATAAACAACCACAGATTTTTTCTATGGAGTGCTTCGAAAGAGGGAATGTTCGCAGATACCATTTTGTGACGGACACTCTCAGATCTGGAAACACAGTGAAATACGCGATAAGCATTATTATATATTATGAAGTTTTAATTTTTTTATACAAAAAGAGCAGTTTCGAAAAAAATTACTATGCTACGCCCTGGAAATTTCCTTGAAGCGGCTTTCAAACAATTGATTGAACAGGCATTACAATGAATAGATTTAATTTCATCATGATCCGGAATGAATTCAATTGGCGGCGGCAAATTCGATTTGAAACCGACAAATGGCGACAATAGATAAAAGTGGGACATGAAGCTCGGAGCTGGCGTTTTTCATCTTCAGTGCGTACTGTATCGTTCGTGTTGGTAACTAAGCAAAATGAGTGCCGAAGGCGCGAGAAATTTATACAATTTGATTTAAAATAGCGTTAGCTAAGCCATTTTTCATCTGTCGCGCAGTGTTTATGATACTTTTTTCGTTTAATTTACAGCGTGCATGATTTAGTTTTAATATGCAAATTACCGTATTGCACAGCTCGAATTTAAACATTTTTTCGTCGTCACGAAAATCATTATTTAGGATGGGATTTACATATTTATCCAGAGGAAGGGGAAAGCCGATACGACGGCTTAACCATATGGCCAACCACGCCTCTCGTCCGGTTACCATTCCATGTCGGGTATGGGATTAGTTAGTTATTTGTTTTCGGTAGCATGGACTTGATGGTGGGGGAAGCCGTGCCCGTAACCGACCAGCGGTTACGTCAACCACCCTACGGCGGCGATCAGCAATCCTCTCGCACATAACTATATCCGCATGGGATGCGAACCCACGCAGAGTAATCAGAGATGCGGTGGCGTGCGTATTCCTAACGCTCAGCGCGATGAGCCACAACGCCACCGGACAGGTTAATGACAATATTTTCATTCTATTGCGGTTTCTATCTTAATCGCAGCCCTGTTTTTGCCAATGTAGGTACACTGTTCCACTTATTGTCAGAATGAATTAACGGCGGGTTCATTCATCAGTTTTTATCACTCGCATGTCCAGTATGTTTCTTGCAATAATTCGCGACTAGTCGGAACACCGAAAAAAGACACTGGGTCACCTTATGATCTAAATCCAAATGCAGCCACGCGGTTGATGACATTGCGACTATTGGCTAACAAACGTCATACGGCAAGCACACATGATGGTACTGCACACCGTGCCAATAAATAATAATATAATTGTTTCACTGGACATCACCAGTAATACTCATCTAGCCGTTCAATATTGACCATGTTCCAACAAGCACGAGAGGAAAATATCTCTTATTTACAAAGCAGAATGAACACGCAGCTTAATTTTACAAAAAATAATATCAAACAGGCTAAAATTGCTTCATTTATTTAAATATCACCAATAACCAAATGTACGTTTCCAAAGATTTGCACAAAATTGGACAACAATATTACAAAATGAGGTTAAGGAGGATAAAAGTTTCAGTAGCAGCTTCGCAGTTAACAGGTAAACATTCAAATTTAAATTAGTTGAATATTGCTTCATATTTGATACAATCTTCATTGGACAAGTTTTTGAATTGTTGTACTAATATTAAAATTTTGCCTAAACTATTGAACTCATTACATAGAAACTTTTAGTAGTTTTTAGTTTAGTATCTTCAATTTTATTTGCTGTTCAGCCCATTGCTTAGTCAAAAATTCTCATTTAATTTTGAAAAATGTTTTTACTGGCCATAAATAATAGGTATATTGTGAGAACTCAGTATTTTGGATATTTATGCATTAAATTAATATTATCTAATGTACCTAGAAAGATAAAATTTCCTATGTGTAACAATGTATTACAGAAAGTAAAGCCAGCATTAATCTTCAAACGTCATTCTCCCTGGACCACCCTTATTCATAAATCTTCTGTATCTCTTCCATCTCGGGTCTTCAGCCATTTTAATTTTAGCTTCCTCTTCTTTTTCTGCCATATATTGCTGAAATGAAGAAAATGTCACAGAGTTGATTGACAAAACTCAACAATAAATCTGTGAATATAACATGACCATACCTGACTGCTTGCTTGTGTATGCTAGATAGCTACCATTATTAAAAAAAATTTGATGTTAATCGAATGTCACAAGTACAACTAGCATACCATTGTAAACTTTTCCAATACATTATGAATATGCATGATGAATCGTTTAACTGAATTTTAGAAAACTTGACAAAAATTTTTATCAGGTTTCGAGTAAGTCTGTAAGTTACACGAGATCAATAGTCATTCAGCTAAAAAGACTAGAGTAATATCGAGTCTTTGGAAAATACGACCCAAGTCTCCCCAAGACCACCAGGAATTAATTAAACTAGTTGGGAAAGGCATGGTATATTTTTGTTGAATTTTTATCTGGAGACATTACAAATTTAAATTGGAATAATCTGTTACCGGTACTCTTTTACTATTAGGTTTTAACTTCATAATTTAATCAGACAAAAATTATGATTTAAAATAGTGTTTAATTTCCTATTATTGTTATATTAAATGAGCTTTATCAACCATTTGACTCATTATTTCTAATCTCCCAAAGTCCCAAATTACAGTAACAACAAAATTGTAAAGAGATAAAAAAAAAATTACTCAATACCTTCGCATTTTCATTAATCCATAATTTTCTTTTAGTACAAAGTTGTTTTTCTTTTTCCTCCAAAACGTCCCATCTCATTTTAGTTAATTTCAAGTTTTTTCTCATTTTATAAATTTTATCTTCTTCTGTATATTCATCCTTCAAATACGAGTACCTATAAAACCACCTGGCATAGAATTTTGTCCATCTGTTAATAAAAAGAGAAGAATTATTGAAACAAATGGCAGGGCCCCTCTCAATAGCCAATACCTCATAAATAAACATAGTATAACAATAATACACTGACTAACATGATCGCATGATATGGAAGAAGAAATATCTGAATCCATAAAACATCAGAAATTTTTGGCTTTTGATAACCTCCTTTAATATCTGCATTTTCTTCAATAACTTTACGTAATATTGCATTTTCATCTTCTTTCTTTTCCTCTTGGGTTTTAAACTTGTCCTTTTTTCTCTGCGCACTGTTGCAATAATAAATAAAATTTAATTCCCAATGGAAAGTTGTAATACCTATATTAAACAGCGGATGGAATATCTATGGTTAGTGGTTACATACATCTCATATTTTAGAGCGCTTTAAAATTAATTCGATCTCAAATAAATATGTTACTAATAGGTTTAGGGCTACAATATTAACAAATCTAAGAGATAAGGTCCAAACTGAGATGTATGAATCTACCACACAGTTTGGATTTGAAAATCATTCTCATCAAGAATTTAGTAAATGATCACAACTAATATCATTCATTCATGTCATGTCATAAACTCATATCATTCATGAAGTCCTCAATTGGTCTCATGTATACAATCATCATGAAATCTAGATCAGTTTATGGAGCTCTTGTTTAAATTCATCAATTCGCACATATAAAAAACAATGAAAATATTGAACAAAAATGAATTCACTCTACTTTGAAATAATTGACCATATAGGGGAAAGTGGAGAGGTATGGGCCACCTTGAGGTGTGGGCCATTGCAAGTTCAACAGCTTTATAATATCCCAATCACCTGTAACTTGGTGTGATTATTGCATAAGTCCTACCAAATAACACATGTTATTTGCAGGTCAGCAGCTTACGAGGTGTCTCAGCTATGAGGTACTAAGTGATTTCTTGTAGTAAAAGCTTTTTTTGAAAAATTAGAATAATTGGGATAGCACAATCAGTTGTGGTTCTTTAACAAAATCTGTCAAAGGCCTAGGAACCTAGGTGTCTTGGTCCTGTTAAAGAGAGTGTTGGATGAAACAGCTCATCTTTTTTTGTAATCAAATTTTGTCTGAAAACATGGCGGGTAGGGTGCCTGAGGTATGGGCCTGCCCATACCATGTCGGTAGTCGTGTTAATCAATATAAACTGTGATAGTGACCTAGGGAAATGTAGTGTATAATGAGAATGTCTTTATTTTTCGCCATTCTTTCGTTGTTCTGCAATGTAATGTATATCTTCTGCCAAATCAGATGACCTGCCTGGATCATCACGAATGGTCGTTATCCCCAGAAATTATACGGCATTGCCAAAAGCCCCCGTCCAGAAGTACAACCCTCGCAAAGGTAGATAGAAAAGAATTCAATTAAGAAGAAGCAATTAAGAAAAAAAGTGAAGCAAGGTAAAAAAGCGGGAAGACAGGAATAATCATATAATTCGTCAACAGTGATTTTACAGTAGCATTGTTAGACAGCTCGGAAAGTGACATCTTTGAAATAGATTTGGATAATGTTGTCTGTTTAAAAGATCCAGCACTCACTAGAGACAGAGCAGTGACATACAAATTTCTGGGGACTGTGAATGCAAATGAGACAAAGCTGTGCTGCAAATTTCCAGGATATATATGAATACTGGCTATTCTATGATTGATGAAAATTTTGTTGCATCTTACCTATGTTTTATTTAAAAAACAGCTTTATTGATTGTAGAAACTGTGTTTACTTATGGGGTTTGGGATTGAGTAAAATTATATTTCACAATAAGCACTGGGTTCTAGTTTTTTGATGGTGGCCCATACTTGACACTGCCTGGCCCATACCTCAGATGATAAATTTTTTTTGTGTAAATTTCGTTTTTGTGGAAAAATACATTTTTTTCCAAAACTACTTTTGAAACTCCAAAACAATGCTAGGAATAGTTACCTAGCTGTTTTGTTAAACATTCAGTGGGTAAAAGAGTGAATATTTAGTTCAAAGGGCCAAAGCGTTGTGGCCCTCCAAAGTTTGGTGGCCCATACCTCTCCACTTTCCCCTACTAATTTGAGATTTAATAGAACAATGAAAGCATTGCAATTTTGTGAATATGATTACTGCTTTTCGAATTGTGTCAAGAAAATCTAAACTCAATGAGAAAAATAAACAAATACCTTTTCTCTAAAATTAATCCTCTAGATTTTGCCTCTTCTTTTGCCATATTTCTATATTTAGTATTATGCAGCATATAATTTAGGGCTGTATTATAAGATGTCATCCAACTTATATATTGGAATACCGATATCGCAGTTATGGTTCCGAAAATCACATATCGGACATCAACATTCACTTTTCGTCTGTAATATCTATAGTAATTGTAATAATATTCCTCTGGGTGATCCAGATAATAATCATATTCTTCTTTTGCTTGTGCATCTTTTAATGTTTCATATGCAGTAGCAACTTGTTGAAATTTCTCGATAGCTTCTTCAATTTCTTGCGGAGAAGCACCTTTGTTTTGTACATAATCTGGATGATATTCTCTAGCAAGTTTACGATATGATCTTGAAATTTCTGATTTAGACGAGTCTCTAGTAACTCCAAGAACATCATAACATGTATCCTCTCCACAGTACATCTCAGAAATAAGTTGACATGAAATGCATGGTAGCAAGGCTATGAATATGACATATTTTGTCATAACATACATGGGTGGTATCCTACTCATGAGCATAACCTTGACAGACTTGGCTGCAAACTGATAGGAATAAATTATAAATCACAAAATTGACTAGTTCATTGAAAAGCTACACAATTCAATTATTACTGTACTATTCAATCATACTGGTATGACTGTATGATAGAATATACCGTAGCATAGGCATAGCAATTATTAAGATATTGAAAATCTAACATTTGTGAGTGAACATTTCCTCATTTGTTATGAATTTTTGTGATGTTATTTTTTTAATATGATTTCAAGTCAAGATCATTATCATTTACAGCAGGGGTCACCAAACTTTTTTGACCGAAAGCCAGGTATGACACAAACTGTGTTGAAAACGGGCCGGACAAATATTTTTATCAATGCAATACAATTCACGTTGGGAAATGTATGAGTTTATTTCGACTCCATAATCAGCAGTAGCAGCAGTGAAATCCATTCAATTTATTCAAAAATATAAATTATATAGGCTATTTCTGAATTCTTGAATATTAAATTATATATCGCAGAATATAGATCAACAACATCATAGAAAAACAAATATACAAGATTTTTAAACACGCGGCGGTGTGGCTCAACGGGCTAAGCGTTAGGAATACGCTCGCCACCACACCTCTAATTACTCTGCGTGGATTTGCAGGTTCGAATCCCATGCAGAGATGGTTATGTGCGAGAGGATTGCTGGACTCCTCGCCGTCGTTGGGTGGTTCACGTACGGTAACCGCTGGTCGGTTACCGGTACGGCTTCATCCACCACCAAGTCCATGCTTCCGAAAAAACAAACAATATAACTAACCCCATATCCGACTTGAAATGGTACCGTAACCGGACGGGAGGCCGTGGTTCGCCATATGGATAAGCCGTCTTATCGGCTTTCCTATCCCCCGGGATAAATATGTAAAATCCTATCCTAACCCGAACTATCCTGAGGGTAACGTTAGCTGTTATGGCACAGCAGTACTACAGCGTTAGAAAAATAACTGCTGTCTGGAATATCTGCGTGTGAGCAATGAACCTTTCCCCGACCTTTGATCCCCGAAAAATTCTTTCTATACTTTACCATTGCAAAACTTTTGGGGTATGGGGTATGTGTTTCGAACCATCATTTTGATTCATCGCATACAACAATCTGTTTTTTAAAAGTACCGGTAAAGAATTTTAGCCTAGTATTTTTTTTTTTCTTTTCTTGTATTTATTTATTCATTTTTTTTGTTTACTGTATAGTATACCCTAAATTTATCGCGTCTTATTCTTACTTAAATAAATTCTCAGTGGTTGTGTGTGTGTGTGTGTGTGGCTGGTGGGTGCATGTGAGCGTGTGTGAAATAACTTAATAATTTTAGGTGAGTAAACACGTACCACTTCCTCTCGGCAAAACCTTCCATCTTATATTTTGTACGTTATAAACCTTATCTAAGGTTTTGTTTGCTCCCCTGATTTCATAATCAGTTTTTATTTATTTGTTTTTATCTGTCAAATGTATTGTTATGCTGATTATGGAGTCGAAATAAACTTATACTTATACTTATATTTCTACACTGATTTTTTATTACTGCAATTAAATTAAAACTCCTAGGAAGACAGAGTGATCATTGAATATTCTGATTTATATTTAAGTTTCCGAAACACAACTGAAAACTAACGAATAGAGTTCGAAAACGCAAAAACGAGGTAATGTTTACGACCACGCTTGAAAATCTGTTCAAGTGAGAAAAATAGGAGCATTGTTACGTCACTTTTCGCATCTTGCGAATTGGCCAATGTCACGAAGTAAACAAGGGAGTCGATGCTTGGGGAAAGGTCCATACTCCATATGGTTGGATTATCCGGATAGCAGATATCCGGTTAACCGGGAGTTGTTACGATATCTGATATCCGGATACTATTGTGACGGTTAACCGGAATAGAGTAGTACAATAAACAAGAGAGCTATGCTAAATATATGGACACGTAGCCCCACATAATTTTGATGACGTCATAGAAAAAAAATAAAAGTAATAGCCTTCTGTAGAAAAATTCCATCTTTAACCACTGAAAATTTCAAAGCAATTGGTCCAGTAATCGAAGAGAAAAACGATTTCTTCAAAACGTGTCAATGAACAAGAACAACATAACAACAAAACGATCGTTATGTCCACTACGTGTCTAACAATGCATATGCGCAATAGTGATTTTTATCTTTTTGTTAAGTGGGGACTGACATCTCCCAGAGCGAACTCCACTATTACATCACAAAACACGCAGAACAAATGTGATTATTGCGTATTTGCGTTATAGCAGAGCTCATTCGCATTAGCTTGGAACTGGAGGCACAGTTAGGCTTAAGTCCCTGTTTCTCCGCCGTCCCGGCGGTAGATTTGAATGTCCCGGTTTTGCAGTATGACAGTCATGAATAATTTTTTTATTCAATATTTCTACAATTACAAAATTGTCTTTTTAACAGAGGCAGCCGATTTATCTCTGATTTGCGTCTCAATTCACTGGTTCAGATAGAGATAAAATTGTTATGTCATAGTTCGGCAGTTATGATATGAAGTATTACGTTAATTTAACACCCAACTCTACTGTCGTTGAATCTTCAAAATTTTGAATACAAGTTGCAAGTTTTTTAATGAGTTGAACGATTTCCATTATTTGAAGCAAAGACCAATATAGGATATTTGGGATTTGCAGATAATTTTGATGCCCATAATTTACCCATAATGGTATGGAAAACGTTTAAACTATTACTAAACTTCCAAAACTAAACCAAGGTTGGCTTGTCTAGTCTGCATCTGCACCGTCCCGTTTTTTGCATCAGATATATGATGAGCCTAGGTACAGAATAAGCAGGACTAACTTAAACGAATTCAGTTAAAAAGCATTGGATGGGTGGGTGCGAGTTTGTTACTTTTTGGTCGAGTGTAGTTTTCAGTTTTTGCGCGTATTGAAGGAACGCATTTCATGATGGAATAAACCAGTTTGAACTTCCAGGACTTATTTCACAGTACTTACGAATTACATGTAATCCGTCTCGCATTTCAAAATTTTCGGTACACGAACGCATGTTATGTGCATGTTTTTATGTTTTTAACTTGGGTAATTATGCTAGATGGAGAAATATTTTAAGTTTTGGCCTAATTAGTTCAAACGTGGGAATATTTTTTCAAAATCATCATTTTTCTTTATTATTAAGTTTTGTTCATTTTCCCGGACTGCCCCCCCCCCCCCCCCCCCCCCCCAGACCCCAGTTTCAACAGACCCCAGTTTATTCTGTAGACTGTCTCTGTATTTGTGCAATATTGGCAAATATGTCACTTATGCACATAAAAATGCCATTCGATAATATAAATGTGTTTTTATCGCCATGAAAAGATCGAAATAACACCCATAGTCTTAAAACGGTGCGAAAATACGGACAGCTGGCCTCTGTAATCGAGTTGTCTCAGTGGATTTTCGGTGTAATTGAGTTGTCCACCTCCCCTCTTTCGCATTTTCATCATTATTGGACACGTAGTGGACATAACGATCGTTTCAATATTATGTTGTTGTTGTTGTTGTTCTTGTTCTTGTTCTTTGACACGTTTTTAAAAAGTCGCTTTTCTCTTCGAATACTGGACCAATTGCCTTGAAATTTTCAGTGGTTAAAGATTAATTTTTTCGCTAGAAGGCTATTACTTTTGTTTATTCTTAAATTTTATATGAATCCTATGAGATATGATATTTCATACAAAATTTCGCGGTATTTATTTTTACTCATGGGAACACTGTTTTACACTTATTTCAAGCGGTTTCGCGATCGATTGTCTTGCTCAGTACTACAGCTACTGTAGGTCGGTACTGGTAAGTTGCCATACCGGTACCGTAACGCAGTGAAATTGACTTATTCCTTCCGCGGTATTACTAATGCTGCAATGCAAGTTTTATAGCCTATCGTATGCGGAACGGAATATCAGACCTACAGGTTCGGTACCGGTACTGGTAGCTCAGTACGTAAGTACGATACTGGTACTGGTGCCGGTACCGGTGTCTTACCACAATGAAATTACCGTAACTTATTCTTTCACGGTCCTACCAGTGCAGTAATGCAAGCGTTGTAGCACTTGTAGCCTACTATATTTGTTTATTTTGATGAGAGTCTACTGGAAACAACATAAAATTTGAAAGGGAAGAATTGTTCTGTGATCAATTATCTGTCCTAAAGTGTAAACAACATAAAATTTGCAAGGGAACAACTGTTCTGTGATCAATTACCGTATATGGCCTACAGTGTACAGGTAAGATGCTGGCTGACTGCTAACCGGTACTGGTAGCTCAGTACGTAAGTACGATACTGGTACTGGTGCCGGTACCGGTGTCTTACCACAATGAAATTACCGTACCTTTTTCTTTCACGGTCCTACCAGTGCAGTAATGCAAGCGTTGTAGCACTTGTAGCCTACTATATTTGTTTATTTTGATGAGAGTCTACTGGAAACAACATAAAATTTGAAAGGGAAGAATTGTTCTGTGATCAATTATCTGTCCTAAAGTGTAAACAACATAAAATTTGCGAGGGAACAACTGTTCTGCGATCAATTACCGTATATGGCCTACAGTGTACAGGTAAGATGCTGCCTGACTGCTAACTCAGTACCGCTTGACACGTTTTTAAAAAGTCGCTTTTCTCTTCGAATACTGGACCAATTGCTTTGAAATTTTTAGTGGTTAAAGATAAAAATTTTCTCCAGAAGGTTATTACTTTTTTTTTCGCTATGACGTCATCAAAATTATGTGACTCTACGTGTTCATATATTTGAGCATAGCTCTCTTGTTTGTATTGAGAATATACTTTGTTCAAATATATTTGACAGGTAAGTCAGTACTGCCAGTACCTTTTGTCGATTGCGGGCCAAAATGAAAGATTACAAATCTTGGCGGGCCGCACATGTTTTTTTAGGAAAGTTGAAAACCGAACGGGTGGCTGATGAACATTTGTTACACAGATCAGGAGTTGAAATTTAAAATAACGAGCACTGTGACGACTCGTGGACTCAGGTCACATTACTAGACAAAAAATTTACAAGTGACATTTATTGTGACACTTGTTGTTGCATTACGCGTGATATCAGACACACTGGATGAAGCCAAGATTAGAACATTTTCTTAATGGACATCACTAATTCTAGTTCTCGATTCATAGGTCCACTTCATGTCCAATAATCTTCCTTCAGAATAGATTATGAAATTAAATTATCGTTAAAATTTGCACCCATCTTTTTGTCGCTAAATTTGAGTGAAGCATCGCGGGCCGGATTATTTTCCTTGCAGAATTAGCGGTGGCTGACTTGAATGGGTGGAGTGCAACCAGCCACCATGGCTGACTTGACGTAGGCAATTCTCCATGCTGCGGCGGTTAAATGAGTTACCGTTACGCCAATGACCCGATTAACGATTCAAATTTAAAACACCCTTGT